TTTTTTTTTTTTTTTTTTTTTTTTTTTTTTTTTTTTTTGTGGGGGGGGGGGGACACTCACTGGGCTGTACAAACTGTTGGCCTGCTCCTTTTGTGAGGTCCTTATAAATTATCTCAATTGATTTTCGCTAAATTCCTCTAACTTGCTTCATGCCCACAATAGCAAGATAATTCGTCAGCTTGTGGTGTTCTCCACACACCTGAGCATACTTTACCAGCATTGTTTTGAGAATTTATTTCCTGCAATTAGAGATCGAAGGCCAACCCATTGACTTAGCCTATTGATGGGATCCTTGTTAACGATCTTTAAATATAATTGATGCTGATATGTTCTTAACTTCTGAATTTATCTACAATGTCTGTACTGGCTTTCCACGTTGCATGCTGCCATTCATTATGGCTATACTAACTCAGCTACAATAATCTGCATGGTAAACAAAGTAATTGGTTTTCTTGATGTAAAGAATTTGTTGGACGTGAAATAGGGTTCAACATGCTCCTTCTGTTCATATAACAGTTGTGGTAGGTTTCCTGTTTATTTATTTTTTGGGTAATTCTCTAGCTTTCTGGACACTTCAAAATAAAGTGATCCCATAAAGCTCAGTGCTTGTTAATTTGTTTACTAGTGGGCAAATGGGCATCTTCATTCTTCATTTTAATGTATTATACATTATATTTCTATGTTAATTTCAGGTCAGGAGGTGGTGAGCATTGTTTCGTTTTTTTATTATCTTTTCTTTTTTATTGGCCAGTTAAAAGTTAGAAATAGTTGAGCTGATTTTGTTACAATGCTTGAGCGTCGATTAATTCATGACAGATTGCTATTATTTGTTTGCTGACAGAGTCTGCCAGTGGAGGAGTTCTACCGCACCCAAGGAAAATTGCTGGAGTTTGATCTGCCTGGAGGCATCCCAGAATCCTGGCCAAAATTGCTGGAAGCTCTTAATCTCGATGTCCATGAGGGCAAACAGTCTGCTGCAGCATAGATTCCTATCACCTGCTTGTTCTATAAGGTGTTATTTTTTGCATGTGTAAGGTGCATGCCCAAAAATTTTGCAGAAACAAGGGAAGCAATCTGTTTTTCTTTTTTCTTTCCCTTAGAAATAAAGAAATGAAGGATAGACCATGCCGTTCTATTATGGCGGCTGCATTATTTGTCTTGGGATTTTTGTTTTACAAAGAGGTTTGTTGTACCCTAATATGAGACATAGAAAGGGGGAGATGATTCAATTTTCATCTTCAGCGACTGTGTGAAATTAGTTACAACTGGTTGGTATTTGTTATTACTCAGACTACACTGATGTCCAGTGGTAAATTGATGTTCTCAGCTACATATTGTTCAGGTGTAAATCTCAAGCTGCTAGATCTTGGTTACTAAGACTCTGTTTGGAGATTGTGCTATTTTTTTTTTGGTACATAAAATGAATATGCAGGTAGGTCACTCCACATATTCGTTAGGGAGCATTGTCCNTGTTTGGAGATTGTGCTATTTTTTTTTTGGTACATAAAATGAATATGCAGGTAGGCCACTCCACATATTCGTTAGGGAGCATTGTCCCTCAACATCACAAAATTATCTGTAGGGGATCCCATTGTACCTATGTTGAGGCTGAGGTTAAGGTCCCACTACGTTTGCCCCGATGTCGGGGCTGAAGTTAAAGTTCCACTTTGGGCTCTGGGCGTTGAAGAGTAGGTTTAGCTCAAATGAGCTGTTGTAGTTATGGAGACTCGAAATTTAAGCATTGAGCGAGAAAATTTGAGTTCTTACCTACTATATCAACAACTCGTTGGTGGATTGTGCTTTCACAAATGCCTACATGACAAAGATAGGAGCAGAGAGAGTGGGAATGCTTCTTTTTTGTTTTTTTTTTAGGTTAATTACACATTTCCCTGAATATGAACAGCAGGTACTTTCAATTCAAATCGGGAGCCATGAAGTGTTGCTCCCAGTGAGGAGCTCCCTTGCCAATCATAGGCAAGTCCTTAGGCATGGAAGTGGAGGCTTAGGGGCAGTAACCCAGGACGCATATATTAGCTGCAGGAACAATTAAATACCGAAACACAGGATCTGTTTTGCTGTTGGACTACACTGCGTCATAACACGCCTACATTACTATGTAGGAGAACCTTAATTAAGGCAAAAGTTTGTTATTTGTGGGTATAAACTTTTTCTCTTTGTAGGGTAATAATCAGAACTTCAATGGAAAAAGCAGAAAGTTGGTATATTCAACCATCATGTGGTTAGCAGTCTCCTCTATGTGTGCTATAAGCTGCTTGGTGGCCTAATTTACTATTGCTCTTTACCCAACAATACTCTGCTTTATTGGCACAAAAACATGTTATCAACCAACAATAACATGGTCACTGCTGTCTGGAGTAAAAACCCATCTGTATAAAGCTTCTTGTTCTATTACAGTTACTTTATTTAGGGGTCTATTCGATCCACTTTTTACAGTGCTTGAATAAAGGGACCAAACTAGACAATGGCGTGTGTTAGTATAATTGAATTTCCCATGTCCTTTTCTGGATAATTGATGCCATAATTAAAGCTTGTTAAGTCTGAGATCTCAAGTTCGATCCTTAATGTAATGTTCAGTGGTTGAGTTTGACCTTTAATAATTCAAGGGCGTGTTTGATATGTGGGTTTGGGAGGTTTTGGATCCTAGATTGGAGATTAAATCCCTTTAAACCCATGTTTGACAACTATGCATTTAATGCAGGGTTTGAAACTCGGCTTGGTGATGGCCCAATTATGAAATCCACATACTTGGGTTTCATGAAACCCAAGGGGAGGTGGCTTTCATATGTGTGTTAATGAGTTTAACATACAAATGATATTTATATCCCCATATATTCTATATACCCCATATATATAAATTGATTAAGGGGCACAATAATTATTTATATACAAATATATTATTATAATAGTCATATATCTGTGCGCATAACAAAAATATGAGTATAGACAATATTGAATATTGAATCCCATCTTTGGATCAAACCCGAGTTTAGACAAGTCAATCCAAACCTCTCCTAAAAAACATACCAAATAGGCCCCAAAGGTTTTAGGTA